ACACACACACTGATGTTTATTTAGCGTCTGTGTTGAGGATTTCCAGGACATCGGAGGCCAACCGTGAACACGACCGGTTATGGTCTTTGATCAGCGCCAGTGAGACAGAAAGCATGATGGGATGGAAACACAAGATGACTACACACCTAACAAACAGCACTTAAAGATGCCCACTCGCCTCGGTTACTGCTGCAGGTTACCGCCTGCAGTAATGCAATCAAATCAAGATGAGGAAATACCAAAACATGCACACAATTCTGCATGTTCAGAAAGCAATTAAAGCGTTTATTATTCAGTATTATCTAATTTAACTGAGCTATTTTGGAAGTCCAGACCACAGGAAGATTATCCTCTGCAGATAAAGGACGCCTGGGTGAAGGTGGAAGACAAGGATTCAATATCTGCCATCCAGCTAATATTATTGCTCCAGTTTCACAGCCTGGTTTGCTCTCAGTCGATGCTGACACAAATCTTCCACGCTTCTTTGCTCTTAGATCATATTTTCTTCATGTAGGGGCTTGCAGAGGTTTCCATGCATATTGAGCTTGTGTCACAACCACAGTTTGTTGTACTTTATGACGATATACAAAGAGCTGCAAGGTTTAAAAATATTTTACATTTTTTTAAAAATCTGGAAAGTTTGACAGGAGGTTTACCAGCTTTGCACATATTTTTAGTGGGTCAAATCCAGTCAGATTGGATGGAAAGAGTCAATTTTTAACTCTTGTTCCAGTTTTCAATGATAGATTTACGTCTTTGAGCTTTGACTGGGCCATTCCAACACATGAATGTAATTAGATCAACTCCATTGCAGCTGAAAATGGTCGTCAGTCCTCCAATATTTTTCTGCTTATGTGTCCATCCATCTTCTCAGTGCCAGCAGGATGATGCTGCCACCACCATGTGTCACTTTATGTCGGACCTTCTCCATATATTTGTAGCAGAAAGTTATTTTTACAACTTTCTACCACTCTTCCATAAATGGCAGCAGATGTTTCATATTTTTATCCCTTTTCTCTCACTTCACATTCACCTGCACATTTTGTGTTGGTGAGGGTGAACACTTTTGTTAATTTCTTCGTTTCTCTTCTTCTACAAAAACACACATTATGTGCATGTCTGGCTCTTGTGATGATCACAGGAGTTCATAATGGCACCATAATTGATTAATCATCAAGGAAAGGCAGATTTACTGACTCAGAGCTGATCGTAATGTGCAGTTTCCAAACCACAGAGTCACATCCGTCCTCGTTCACCAATGAGAGCAGCTCGTCTTTTTAGATGATTATTGTGGTTAGCTGAAGTGTCGCTGTGAGAAGGACGGAGCGAAGGAAGAGGATAAACATCTCTTCTCCCATTAAAGCTGATAATCGAACGATCTCATCTTCGCTCTGACGACGCTTCAAACGCAGCTTTCTCTTCTCATCGCTTTCAAGAGAATGATCAATAAAGTAACTCAGCACGACGAAACGAATGAGCCAGAGTACAACTAAACACAGAATACATCGGAAAACCAAACCTTAGCAGGCATTAAATGAAGGACTAAATGTTGTCTCCCTGTCCCGTCTGCTGAGTTTGATTCAGTTTTTGTAGCTGAACACAGTCTGGGGAATACAGCTGCTCAGCGAAAGGAAAGAAAGGCTTTGAATCCATGTCGGTTCCTGACGGTAAACGATAAACGACTTCCTGCTATTCAACATTAGATCAAGAGTGGCAAGGAGGGTTCTTTAAACTGTATCCAAAATCCATTTTCCTCCTCAGGATGATTAAATTATGGATAAAGCAAAAAAGCTTTGTTGTCATCGCTGAGTTTCAATTGGATGAGACGGCGTGTTTCCACTGAAATGGATGATAAACAAAAATAAAACAGCCCTTATGAGAAGAATTCACCTGCTGGCTCGTTTTATTGCTTTTACAGATCAATTATGAGCAATAAAATCAGATATTTTCACAGAAAAATATCAGTCTAAATGTCAATAAAATTTAAAAAATATGTAACATAAAATAAATGACTGTATTAATGGATGGCGGATTTGTAGAAGCAATAAAAAGAGTAAAATGTTATTTTTATACAAGATTTATCTGAAAATACATCATATCTGACACAAAACTGTCATCACATGTTGGTTGCACAGATATTTAATGTGCACGAGGGAATTATTTGTATTTTCATCTAAGTGAAAATAAATAACAGGAATTGTGGATGGCAGTGTTTCACAGATTGCTCATGGTGTTAAACACTGAAGGCTAAATAACATCAGGTTGGAATATTTGTGCAAAACATTTTCTTTTCTACCAGAGGAGGCATTTGGAGCAATTCCTTCATCGTCTCCAGCTCATCTTTCACAGCCGCCGTTGCTCTGTCGGGAATCTGCTGCACGGCTCTCTGAAGGTCTGGCTTCAACATGCGTCGCTTTTCATTTCACTTTCACTTCGAGGGGGAAAAAAAGCTCCTTACAGTACGTGATAAATAGGAAGGAAACATCTGGGCTTCAGAGTACCTTCGGTGTATCTTTGCCAGGGTCAAACATGATACAGGTTTAATGACGCAAAGAGCAAAACCGATCCAAACAGTCAATCACTTCTTCTGCTTGGCACTGGTTCACTTCCTGATTGTATGAGTGGGACAAACAGAGCACAGGTTAGCACCACTTTGAAACATCTGAGAAAATATGTAAGTATTCAAGCTGCGTCTGTATAAAACACAGATGTTGCAGACAAGGAGAAGGTGAAGCCTTAAACACAGTATGACCCCAGTATTATGTTTTAACCACTCAGTCATTCCTTATCTTCCTGCAGCTGAGGTGACAGATTCAGTCACTGGGACGCAGCACGTTTTCAGCGGGGCTCAGAAACGGCACCACATGTTTTTAGCAGACGTCCAGGCAAAGATTAGCACACCTGCGACTGGTTACACATCTAAAAACTGGAGTTATTGTTGCTATTCAGCACAGAGGATGGCATGCGTTCAATCTTCACAAATCATCTCCAGTATTCATGCTGAAGGCAAAACCTGCACAGGAATATGCAGTTTCCAGTGAGTGCATCGTCTTTACTGTGTTTTATCCAACTCTGCTGCTTTCCTCTGCCGTTTATCTCTAAAATAAATACCCTCTGGGTCCAGCATGATGCACTTAAAGGTGACCTGCTATGCTTCCTTATAGCATGTTCAGTACTTTTTTTGTTCAAAATCTTTTTTAGATAAGATTTCAGTTTGTGTACTTTGTGCTCCTGTAAGAATGAGCTGTTTTACGGCGTCCTGTCACTTTAAATCCACATAAGCTCCTTCTAGTGGCACACCCACTAGAAGGAAACAAGCGCACCCTATATAAACCTTTCATTCTATTGGCTGAGGGGTTGCCAGGCGACAGTACTTTTTTTGTTCCAAGTGCGAGCAGAAAATGATTTGCAAGCGAGTAGCGAGGTTTGATCCGAGCAGAGACGAGTTTTGAGCGCTTGGAGAGCGGCTTGAGAAAACACAGAGAGTATTTGACAGAGAGCAGAAGTTTTGAGCACAAGAATTCAAAGTGTTGAGGAGAAAGACATGAAATCCTGCTTTCAAACTGAAAATGTGCGCTCTCGAGTTAAGGCAGGAAAATTCCTCCATATTAGAACCAGCCGTTCTGGATCTCAGCTCTGGTTGCTAGGTGACGGGCTGGGCTTCCCTGGGGTTGCTAGGCAACGGGCAGTTCCTACTGATTGGTGACTTTACGTTCAGGGAGGTTTATGAAACAGCTCATTTTCCCAGACACAAAAAACAGAAACTTTCTGCTAAAAACCAGTTTTTAGCAGGGTGGTTTTTCTCAGTATTCTGAGAAGCACAAAAGAAGCACAAAAAAGTGAAAAATGTGAATTCTGAATATGAGGTTGGAGTTACTAAGGGGAAAAAATATATTTACCCCTTAAGAGCCATTTTAAAGACCTCGGGTCAGTTTTTCTACCAAGGTGTCAATATTTCCCTGAATCGCTGCTCTGTTTGTCTCCCAGTTCTGAACAAATGCTCGAGCTTAAGCTGAGAAAAAAAAGATTGCAACTAATTACATGAGCCGCATGGTTTACCTCAGCATATATTAACTCACAGCTTCCTTCGTTAAATGAATTACGATGATCTGTACAGAGGATAAGGAGCCCTAATTCCTGCTTTTCTTACATCCACGTGTTCCTTGGCTTGTGGAGTAAACGGCTCCCTCAGGATCCATATTCATACAGCCAGATCTTTCCGTTTAAGTTATTGGAAACTTTTCCAAAATCGAGCACAGAGTCCAAATCAAAGACTTTTCATCTTGCACTTTTCCTCTTTGTTCTCAGCCGTAAACCTCCAGCACTCTTTCCAAGAATGAGGCAGACATGTAACAGGTTAAGAAGATTATAATAAATCACATGAAGAGAGGACGTTTCAAAGCAACTATTAGGAATTAATATCAATAAAGGTTTGTCTGAAAATGTTGTGTTTATCTATTGAAACCATCTATTTATATCGATTCACACACACAATCATCCTGTTTACATCTTTGGCAAGAACTGATAAACACCAGATGAATTTACATGATGTTTTGCTAACATTTTATATGAATAAACTGTAATAATAACCAACAAACATCCATAATCAAAAACACTGGAGTCTAAAACCAAAGTAGGAAAGTTGAAAGTCCTGACAACCCATATTCCTTTCCTCAATAAAAATCCTTGTAAAACATTTCCTTTTTGCTTTTTCAGCAATAAATTATACATGCAATGTTATAATGAAACAAAGCAGGATGAACTCATTATTTTAGATTGTAAAAAGAGTAAATCTTGTTTTATTGTTTTAGAAATGTTTTTTCACATTCCCAGCAACAAAATGAGAATTTTATTTGAAAACGTTCAATAAATGTTGTTGCCAGAATCCGTTTTTTGAGGAATAAAGTTGAAGAAAGTTTGTGACTTGACTTCCTTGAAAACAAAAGCAAAACAAAAACATAGCTAATTAAAGAAAAACACTTTGTCTTGCACCTAAATAATTAAAAAAAAAATTATTTCAGAAGATATCTCATCATATGAAATGATGAAAAGCTGAAGTTCATGAGCTCCATTTGCTGGACGATTACATTTCGACCATTTTTAACTGCAGTTTTAGGCCCAAACAAAATGGTTCCAAGGACTATTAATAGTCCCCACACCACAATGTAAGGGTGACGCACCTTCTGATTAAATTTTAGCATTCTGTCTTTATCAGTCAGAAAAATCACCTGGACTGTTTGGTTACAGCTGGACTCGGTGAAATCTCATCTTGGTACCTCGGTGAAATTCACCGACATCACAGGAGTGATGCATTTCTTCACCATCACTCTGCATAAGGTGGATTTATACACCTGTTTTCATGGAACATCTGGATCCCGGGATTGGCGCCGTGACCCAGAAACCTTGACAATATGGTGTGTCAAACTGATGGCAGTAAAATTTATGAGATGATTTATCTACGCCTCATTCTTTAACTTAAAAAAATGCAATTATTACAGGAGTGTGAGACTTTTCACATAAATCAGGAAGACAACTTGCACGCTTCTGAAAAAATGCAGAAAATGTTTACATTTTTTCATTGCGGCTCGTCTTCTTTTGACAAATTTTCTTCTGTCTCTATCTGCACCGTTCTCTTCTGTCAACTTTCCCACTTTCCTTTTGTTTTCTTTGCCTTGTTATTAACCTCTGTGTTGTTTTGGGGGTCTCGGCGTGTTGTTGCGTCTTGTTTTACTTCCCCTGCTTGTCTGCCTGTGTAATTGCCTTGATTGTTCCCACCTGTGTTCTGTCAGCCCTGTTTTGCTTTTTCTCTTCTCCTCGATGCTCCAGCCCTGAAATCCCGGCGTGAGGAGGAAACCTGCAAACGGACATGTTTGACATTAACGCTTTTCTTTCATTTCAACGTTTCTTTCTCCATTTTAGGAAGTTAATTAAAGTCTTTTGTTCCTTTTTATCTCCAGGAACAAAAGACGTCTTGCAGTTGGGTCACCTCTGTAACCATGGTTATTATTGTTAACTAAAACTAACAAAATGATGAAAACTGAAATTGAGAAAACGTTTTTGCCAACTGAAATAAAAACAGCAATTAATTGGGAGAAACTATAGCTCACTGGAACTATAGTGTGTATTTATAAAACTAAAACATGCTGAAATTATTGTTTTTATTTACGAACTGATGTCAGTGGTCAAAAAAATTACAATAATCCATTTTCTTCCTGGTGGCGTTACGCTAGTCTGAAAAGTTGGGAGAAAAAATGAGCGTCAGGTTGTTAAGTGAATTAGACAAACAACAAAACACAATGACATAAAACCGCAATATAATGAAAACACTATTATTGCCATGATGTTTTAATTAAATGGACCCAATTGCAGTAGGCAGGATTAGTAATGAGAAAATTTAACGAAAAAACAGGAATCAAACTTACAAATATGAGAAAGTCCAGGTTAGCAGAAAGTATCAAAAGAAAAATCCAGCAGGAGACAAAGAGGAGATAACAGAGGAACCAGGGAGGAGAGAGGAGACGAACCGGCAAGTAGTGACTGACAAAGAAGCGCTTAAATACTGGAAAAGGAACCTAATAAACTTACAACAGAAAATAACTACAACTGGAATCACTAGGGAAGAACAGAAGTGAAAAAGAAGGCAGAGCTAAAGAGAAAAAACACCAAGGAACACCAAAAATGACCGAAAACAAACTCAAACAACCCCAGATTCTAACAATTAACCCTGCCTATAATCCCAATTGGCTGATTTCAGAAGACATGGCTCTGGTTCTGCAGGAGGTTTCTTCTTGTTACAAGACGTTTATTTTTCTCTCTACTGAGAACTGAGGCAAAGATTTAAAAACTCTGAAAAATAACAATTATTAAACCTGGATTTAAATTAATATAAAACTATTACTTCTGACTTTTGTCACAGCCAGCACCCAGAAAACATTCGGCATCTGAGGTAACAGCAAGCGGGTATGAAGTGTCTAATGCTGCCTGAAGCACTGCGCTGCACTTCACTGAGCATGGAAATGGTCTCATATCACGGGCCTAAAAGAAGCTAAAGAGAGAGAAAGCCGCTCTGCTTCCTCCAGCAGACACAGCTGGCCGACCTCAGCGTGAAGCCGCTGTGAAGATCTGATTAAACGGTTTGGGAGGTATGAAAATGGCCAGACGCAGAGCTACAAATCCAAAACCATAAAGGTGCCTGGGAAGAAGCGCGCTCACCGCGTATTGTCTGTCTCTATTCCTGTTGGTCATGCTCTCTCAGAGCGACTCGCAGTACAAGAAAACCCACAAAACACCTTCTGGCTTTGTAAATGTGAGGAATAATTTAAACGGTTTTGTTTGATTTTAAAAAGGAAGAAGGATTCGGTCAGCCAGTGTAATCTCTTCTGCTGTCAGAACAGCCAGAAACTTTAAAAAAAAAAGTCTCAACACTGAAAAAATGAGCCTGGTTCAGTTTCTTCAAAGAAGGACCATTCTGAGCTGCTGCACAGACTGCTACAGGAGATCCTTCCTACCGACAGCAAGCAGCGTTAGATGATTTTCAATTTCCATTTGACACCAATGCTTTTTTAAAATTAGAATTGCCATATAATTTCAATGGGAATTAGTCAAGAATTTGACTAAATTGCAAAAAAGCAAAATCTTACCAAGTATTTTTGTCTGGGTTCGATTGAAAATATCTCAGTACACATGAAATGAGACAAACTAACTTAGAAGTAGCTTTGTAGCAAGACAGAGGCTTTTTTAAAGTAATAATTCCTTAATACTGATGAAAAAGTAGCAGATAGACTGTAAAGACAAAAACTGACTATGCTGAGCCAATCTACTTCATTAAACCTTGATAAAACATTATATTTGATTATTTTCTTGAAAGAAAATATTGATCTAGTCACTTTGGTTTCTTGTTCCACAGATTTCTGTGTGACAGAAATGAAAACATAAGAAACCTATAAGGACACAGACAGGTTTTCATGCTAACGTTGAAGCAGACCTGCAGCTGCTAAATGGATCCAGATAAGAGACTCTTCATGATGCAGCTCCAAAAGCTGATGAGTCATCACAACCGTTGTGTAGCCATCACCTGAATATTAATTAGCATTTGGGATAATAATGATTAATTTAGCAGTTTGGGCATGACCACTTCAGAGCGCTGTTTGTCACCCTGTTGCACATGTGCAGAGGGATCGTTTCTGAACAGACAGGTTGAGTCCTGGGGGATTTTACAGAGCGGTTCACTGTATTTACCATGAACCAGCACACCGAACACATCCATTCCTGCTAAAACCAGACAGAAAAGCTCCTCAAGAGTAAGCAGGTGCACCGTTATATTTCAGGAGTTAAAGAAAAAACCGTCTGGTCCTGTTTTTGTCTTTACATGGCTGGACCCCCTGCTGTCGCCATGTGGGGAAGCAGCAGCAGCAGCATGAAAACTGCAGGCTGTAAAACAGGTGACCCCTCGCAGCACACCTGGCAACCAGAAACCCACAGGAACAGGGCACAGCTTGTATTTACACAGGTGAAAGTTTAGACATCTGAAACAAACAGCATCTCTTTCAACAAGCCGTTTCATATCCCGTTTACGTTTTTGTGGCTGCATTGAGAAAGCATCAGCTGGTAATTTGGTATTTAACGGAGCTGCTTAGCGATTCAGTAATGGTAAAAAGGAAATCAAGGTTCAGGAAACCTTCATTTTCCTGAGAAGAGTTTATCTGTATAATCCACAGACTGCTCTGTGGCTTATCTAGATGTAGTAAGAGCAGATAAAACATGAGCTGCAGAGATTAGGATGAAGCTGCAATGATAACGTCTTTAGCTAGTAATAAAATCTAGCCTCCTGTCTTTAATGGTTCACCGTTCATCCTCAGCCGTAGGACAGATAAACAATTAAATGATTATCTGGACACCTTTTTTCAGAAAAATCTCCAATAATCTCCCAATTACATTCTAGCGCAATAAAGTTGTTGATTTTGTATGAATTTCCACTATAATTCTCAGGAATTATAGTGGAGGGACTGATTGATAAAATTTGGCAGTAAACGGATAAAAACTGCATTGATTTGATTGACAACTTAATATTTAAGTCTAGAATCTAGAGGGCCACATAAGAAGCTACAGCGGGCCGGATTTGGCCCACGGGCCTCGAGTTCTCATTATATAAACCTGATGGTTAAATGTCACAACTCTAGCTAATTATATGACCCCAAAAAATGTCAGAGTAGATGAAAAAAAAAATTTCTCTATCTCTATTAATATATAAGCATAATATGCTTTCCGGGTTTTCTCATATTGCTAATTTTATGTAACATTTTAACTCATCATATCTTAGAGAAACAAATTCATGTAAATTATCTAAATCCACTTTGTTTTCTGTCTAATGGCTTATATACTCTTTCTTCCTGATCAGTTGTGCTGCTGCAATGTGATATGTGCAGAGAAGGTGCATGTAACCCACCTGGAGCTTTGTCAGCGCCCATCTGTTTATCCAAATCACGACGTATTGACCTCATTCTCTAAAGGCAGTTTTCTATATTTGGTTGTCTGTTGGATACATTTCCTTCCCATGATTCTGACATCGTGTGTGTGTGTGTGCGCATGGTTGTGTGTCTGTGTTGCCCTGCGACAGACTGGCGACCTGTCCAGGATGTACCCCGCCTCTCACCCGGAACGTTAGCTGGAGATAGGCACCAGCAACCCTCCCGACCCCACTGAGGGACAAGGGTGTTCAGAAAATGGATGGATGGATTCTGACGTCAGAATCAAGAGAACGTATCAGATTTATTTTTTGTGACATTACAAGAAAACCACATTGATAGAAATGGCAAAAAGTCATGATCCAAAATTATTTGAATATTTTGTAATTTTCCTATTTACTAAAAAATGCTGTTTATGATATACCAAAACTCATAATTACATATTTTGTTACATTTTTCACCATGGAGGTCGCCATTTTTTCACCTGCTGGGTTGATGACGCGTTTTGGTCCATTCTGTGCTGGAATGGACCAGCACAGAATTGTGTATTTCACATTGCGGTTAACTGGTGTAATTTTAGATAATGCCACATGGTGTCACTGTTGGCTGTAATTAAAACAAAACAAAACAAAAAAACAGTAAGGTGAATCTGGATTGCATGCTTCCCACCCACACACACACACACACACAAAATAAGAGTGCAGTGGGAGAGAGCCGGATCCGAACACAACTTCTGAAGGATCTAAACTGTGCCCTCAACATTTCTCTCCCGAAGACTTTGAGTCATTTGTATAAGCAAAACTAACAAATGCTCTAACAGGTGATCGTTGCCTTAACGAGCTGAAACTAAACGACAGTTTTTATCCGCAAAATGCCTTGACTGAGCAGACGCCGCCGCTGGAGACTCTTTAAACGCTAACGGATCTCTGCGCCAGTTGTACGAAGACCGGATCGGACACAGAGCTATAGAAGATCTTACCGGATCACACAGTCTGACCGAAGGAAGCAGCAGCAGCAAAACACCAGCTCCTATGGCCAACTCTGTCCTCTTCCTCTGTTTGGTCGATTTCAACGCGCCGGTTCAATTTGAAAAGGCTTAATGATCGCTGTTTTGGCTGTAGCGCAATTAGACCATTAGATGTCATTTACCCAGAATGCATTGCAGCGTGAACAACATTGTTCATGAGACAATATTTAATTTAATTAAAATATTTAAATAACAAACATTTATTATTTAAATATTTTAAAAATGCTAAATTTTTAAATGTAAAATTGTATTTAAATATTTGATATTTGAATATTTTATTTAAATATTGTAACATGAAAAACACCCTACAGTATTATTACTGTATTGTTTTTACATCTAAATAAATATTTCTCAAATAAAGTCTAATCTTGGATCCTTTAAAGGATGGAAACAGAGGGAGAATCGATGAGTCGGTGCTTGAAGGCATTCAGATCTCTACGCTGAAACCTAATCGCCATGTGGCAGCTGAACCGGGAGGCTACTCCCTCTGCTGATAATCTGCATGAAGACAGATGTCAACATCAGGAAGATCGTTTGAAAAGGAAATTAGGACGGGTCTGAAGCAGGTAGAAACTGTTTCCCTGGTGACACCAGCTGTTGTATACCACATCTTGGATCGATATCCATCAACGTTGTGTTTTTTTGAATGGAAAAACTAATCAACAGCTAACATGATTACACTTCCTGAATGTGTATTAGTGGTTTTAGAGTGCTTTTCCCTAAATTAGTCTCATCTTGAAACAAAAATAAACACATAAAAAAGGATGAAGCAGCTGGTTTTAGTGTGGATTAAAGTTGAGCAAAACCTCAGAGAAGTTTCCATAGAGAAAGATTTTACTACATTTGATCAACATTGCTAAATCACTAAGAGAAATTTCACAGTTTTACACTTAAAACAAGCTACAGTACATATCTCTGCACATTAACTCCAGAATCAGAGAACATGTTCTGTCACTAAAACTTTGGCGATCATGACAAAAGGAGCCATTTCTGACTCAGCTGAGTCGACCCCTGGTGGTAGAAAACGGTCCTGCATGCTCCCGGAAGGAAAACGAAAACGCATTCCTGGTATCTGCTCTCTCTCTCTATATATAAAAAAGATATATAAATAATTCATAATCTTAAAGTAGGGAACACCTGCACATGTTTTGTTGAGAAATCAGTTTGTGTTCAGCCACTTCTGCAGAAAGGTTTTGAGGCGATATATGTGGCCCACTAAGTGGACAGGTGTTTCCAATACTCTCTCCATTTACATCCAGAAACATTGGAAACATACTTTAGCATAATGAGGTCCAGCAGAGCAATGCCACAGACTTCAGTGATCAAGAAGAAATGTCTTCTCTTTGCAGTCACTGTCTGATTTTGTGTCAGTTGTTGTTCCTTTTGTGTTTCATTGAGATCATTTCATGTCTCGTTTTGAGTGAACTGTGTCTTTTTGTGGTCGTTTTGCATCTGCTGTTGGTTGTTTTCAAACTTAATTGTAGATATTTTTTCTCTTTGAGGTTAATTATGCTCAACTTTGATCGTTTCTAGTCAGATGTTGCCCATGTTGATTCAGTTTTACATCACATTTGTTTTATCTTATGTCTTAATTTTTGCGTTTTCTTGAGTTCCTTTCATTACAGTTTCTCTTTATTTCATGATGTACAGTATTAACATTTTGTGCTGTGTTTTTCTTGGTGATCTTTTAAACTTTTTTATTGAAACTGCATGTGTTAGACCAGGTTAAAGTAGCGCAAAACTGTGAAGTGGAAGAAAAATGAAACTTAAAAATAAAAATCATATGTAAATGAATTCCTCCAGGGTTAACGTTTCAGCACTTCATCTCTCAGGACATTTTGGCTCAGTTTTTTATACAAAACAGCTAAAACTGGACAGGGAGAGCCTGTCAACACCAATTTTTAAGTCTCCAAAAAGATTCTCAATTTGATTCAGGTCTTGGCCACTTTAACATATGAACATACTTTGATCAGACCAATCCATTGTAGCTCTGGTTGTACGTTTGGGGTCACTGTCCAGATGGAACAGGAACTTTTAGCTCCGTCTCAAGTCTTTTGCAGCCTACAAGATGATTTCTTCCAGGTTTTAAACTGAATTTAGCTCCATCTATCTTCCTCGCCCCCTCTGAGGAAAATCTTTCCCATAGCATGATTCTGCCAACATCAATTTACGCATCACAGGCTTTCTGCCACACATAGCGTTTTGTATGTAGGCCAAAAAACATCTATTTTTGTCAAATCTGAGCCGCACACTTTCTTTGCTGTACACTTAACCACTTCTGATGTCTTTTACTCAGCAATTGCTGGGTTGCAGATGACGTAGCACCAACATCACCCACTGCAGGTGGAGGTCAGGAAGTAAGTGCAGTTCGTTTACTTCTGTTGATCCAGCATCAAAATGCCTAAAGTTTGTGTCATGTGCGGTTGTTCCAGTCGTTCTAATAGAGATAAATGGATTTCTGTGAAGGTAGCTGGTCACAAAGGAGTTAATTTTAAAAAAACTTACCAAAAAAGAGGAGAAAAGTGGATAAACAATCTACAGCTAAAAACAGGAGGTGCAGAAACTAACAATGCCAGTTTGCAGCGACCACTTTTCAACAGTCGCATCGTTTAAATTATATTTTCAGATATTTTATTGGACAGTTACTTAGAAAGACAAGCATTCATATGTAAGGTAAGATATATTATTTTTGTTATTTCTATGAGCTTGGATCTAATTAATTTAGCTTCTGTAAACCCAAATTCATGCTGGAGTTGAATGTTAATGTTGAGTCATTCTGCATTTCTACAATGTAGGTCAAACATTTGCAGCGATCCACAGAAACCCCATTAAAACACGGTTCGACCAAGCTAGGCGATAGCATTGTTATCGTAGACTAATTACTTAAAAAAGCACAACTCACTACTCACCTGGACAGAAACAAGTCGGCAGCCATTTAATGCTTCTTTTGATCCTAAATTTGACCCAACCTGAAACTAAATGATTGTTTGCTTCCAGACTTTTGAAAACTTTCTTGTGGCTCGTCCTATAATATGAGGTCTGTGGCATCAGACTAACCCTCCCTACACCTTCTCAATGCCGGGTAAATCCTCAAGATTATATGACAAGTCTTTTTTTACAGAGATAATACGGGTCATATCCTAAAAATACTTGTTTTCGAGATGCCTTGTCTGTTTTGGCCCATCTAGGGCATTAGCTACTCACTGTGATACATTTTGCTTTGTTTTGAACCAGAGAAATCCACTTCCTCATCCCCATCTGAATTTTGTGCGTCATCCAGGGCTGAAACCCAGCAACAGCTTTCTTCTTCCCACTCATCCAAATAACCAGATCTGTGCAGTTCATCCCTTTCCTCTGCCTGATTCGTGGCTCTCTGTAGCTCATACATTAGTTACCAGTTTGTGATTAATGTTCTCTTTGGTATTCTTTCAGTTTTTTAATAATAAATTGAACAGAGCGCTGAGTTATTCAAACCTTGAGATGTTGTTTTATAGCATAAATCTTCCTTTAGCTTCTTCTTTAACTTTAACTTCTGGTGTTTTTAAGATGCTCCTCATTCACTAATGAGGCCTTCACAAAACATTCTGAAATTAAATTTTACTAATTAAATGACTTTTGAAGACAAGTGGACATGCTTTTATTTGGGGGCATCAGAATACAAATGCATGCCACACTTTTCAGATTTTCATTTGTATTCTCTCACTTCACCGTTTTGCACTACTTTGTGTTGGTCTGTCAATTGAAAAACAAAGTCGGGAAATGGAAAATGAAAACCTTGAAGCCGGGCTTTCTGTGTGTGTGTGTGTGTGTGTGTGTGTGTGTGTTTAACTGAGGGAGCCCTGGCTCCTTGACCTTTGACCTGCTGGATCCTCTCACTAATCTGTGTGAAATTATTCCAAACAAGACAAGATCTTCACCTTCAACATGATCCACTGATGTAATATAAAGATTGTCTATAATATAAGCAAATAAAAAGGGATTAACTTCGATTTAAATGATATTCCAGTCGGTGTGATCGAAGCTAGTTTTCGCTACTGTTGCAATTGGGCCGAGCTAATGTGGGGGGATCAGGTTCTGCTGCAGAACCATCAGGAGGAGTGATAAACCGGAGGCTGGACGTGACTCTCTCCTCTCCGCAGTGCACTTGCAGCTGAGCAGCTCTCCGGACAGGACCGTCTCCTCCTCCTCCTCCCATTTATATCACTTCTGCGTGAGCGCTGGCCAGAGTAACAGCGGCGCTGCTGGGAGGCTGCGGAGTCTCTTCCATCCGACTCCACGGTGCGGAGGTTTCCCGGACAGACGCGTGACGGTGCGGACTCTTAATCCCAATCCGACAACAATCCGTGCCTCTGGAATTAAGATGAGCGCTTCTGCCGCACGGCTCTCCTCCACATAGCGCCGCATTTCCCTGCTCCAGATCCGTTTCATGTGACTCCTGCGTACGAAGAAGGATGACTGCTACCTTACCGCTGGTGATTCTGTGCGCCTTGGTGAGTCGTCGCTTTCCTTGACTTCTGCAGGATTTAGTAATTTAGAAATGCGTGTTATTTTACGCGTTTCCTGTAAAATACACGCGTTAATAAACTTGTTACTGAAGTTTTGCGTGAAAGTTTCCCTGCTCGGGTGTTAATTGAGGGCAAATCCTGCAGGTGTCTCATGCAGGTTAATGTTCTGCACCAAGGTAATGTCACATTACACACTCCAGCCTTTCTGCTGCGTTTTATCCTGCTGCTGGGATTCCCAGAGAACTGGAAATTCTTTGGAGCTACTGTAATTTCAGTAGATTTTGATTCTAGATCCGTTTTTTTAAAAAGTAAAATAGATGCACTCAGCAAGAGCATGGGACGTTTTCAAGTTTTCTGCATAAAAACCCGGGTTTTAATCAAGAAAGTTAACAATGAAGCATATAGGGGGCTCTCTGCCATGTTCATAGCAGCTGGTCTAATTGGGCTGCAAGGCTCAGTCATCATGCAAACAGCCCTGGATGTGAGGGGACACTGTTATGACAGCTGGCGCAAGAGAGTCGCAGCAGTCGCTGCACTTTGGTAGAACTAAATTTAGAAATAAACTCACAAATTGGCCATGAAATTGACAAGAGGACAAACGAAGCACATGGCAGCTGTGTTGCTTCGTGGCTTAATGGTGGCTCCAATTTGTATTTACCCAACTTGACCTAAATGTGTTTCAGCCAAGTGAAAAATCCAGGACTAAGGTTTTTTTTTGTGTGTGTGTGGGGTCAGGTGGAATGCATGTACGGCGTTTAAAATAAAAACCGAGACTCGTGCAGAAGCGTTGACGATGAGCTGATGGGGAATGACGAGGAAAAGAAGAGCAGAGAAAACGGGAGAGCAGGAATGAGAGGCAGGAGGGGAGATGCTGGCTGCTTGGTACATCTGTTTCTGAATGAAAGCAGAGAGAGGAGGGGAGCGACCAATGAGAGGCAGGGAAAAAAGATGTCTCAGCATATGTGAATTAGCTGGAAATGAGGTTTTACTTATTACATAATAAAAGCCACAGGACATGAAAGTGATGCAGGATAATCAGATTTTTTTTTCTTCTAAAGAAACTGGTTGCAAATTCTTGTCATTTAACTTCAGTTCTTGTGCCAGTGAGTTAAACGGTAAATACGTCAGGAGGGATAATGAGAAACAAGAGCAGACTAGGAGAAGTAAGAAGCAGAAGTAAGTCATATCAGACAAGATCAGTGAGCCTGCAACAGTTTTAAATTAAACGGTGTATTAGAGCAGTTATCTGTCAGAAGAAATATGCACGTTTATTTAGGCCTGTCACCATAAAAAATGTTGCTGGATGATAAATTGTTCCAGAAGTGATTGTTGTTTTGAGACCATTTCTAAGTAATGCAATGGAAAAAATAATAATGCAAGAAGTAAAATGAATTTTGAAGTCTTTCTAATAAAACTGTCTTTGCACCAAACTGCAGTTTTTGGTTGAAAGAGAGAAGAGATAAATCATTCGATGGAAATGACTGAGTTTGCTTTAATCTATCATCCGATTAATTAATTTATTGATTATTGTGACAGGCCTACGTATTTTTATCTCAAGTGCTTGAGTTGTATCTATGGAGACAGATTGAGTTTAATATGTTTGTGTCAGGAGACACTGGAGAGTGACAGAGAAGGAGCGTAGGCTTTTAATGAACACTGCCCAGAAACACTGAAACTGAAGTGTTTGCGTTAATCACAAGCAGAGAGAGGCTGCGTCTAGCTCTCACCTTTGGACGTTAAATAGGACGGGCATGTGGGTAATGTTGTGCATACATGGCTTTATGGCTCCTGCCTGCGTTTCAGGTTCATTATTAGAGCTGATGTGCCTTTAGGGGAGCTATTAAGCCAGGTTACATGGCAGGTTAGTGCAAAGTCTTTCCAATACAGGCAGGCACAATGATTTATGGTGAACCTTTTTAGAACAGGTTATCCACCTGGCAGTAATCTATTCCACCAGTTTGCCTGTTTGGTGTAATACATCTGTCTCCATTCTGCCAGGCGACGTTAGCGCTGGCGTCCAAGACGGAGCGGGCGCTGAACGTTGAATGTGACTCTGGCCAGTTCACCACCAGCGGGGAATGCTGCATGGAGTGTCCACCTGGAGAGGGCGTGGTGAAGGAATGTGGCGCCACTCAGACTGTCTGCGCTCAGTGTTTGGACAGTGAGTAATGATTTCTCATGGTTTGCACCTCTTTTGTACATGCATGTGCATCAAACTCATCAGACTCAATACGTGCAACTATCGTTTTCAGGCATGTCAGCAATAAACCTCCTCATTGGCAAGTACTGACAGATTGATTTGTAAATGCTAGGTCATCACTGGCTACTGCTTTTGTGCCAATGGGGAATCGATAATGAGGAAAACCACCTCAGAGTCCCGAACAGGGATGGTGGATTGAGACAAATCCAGCCTTCATTCTTATTGTCAAGATGATATCTGTGTTAAAAAAAAGACAAATGTAACTGCATGTGGGGATTTTTCTGCCATAATTCGAGAGCACACATTTTCAGTTTGAAAGCAGGATTTCATGTCTTTCTTCTCAAAACTTGTAATGCTTGTACTCCAAACTTCTGCTCTTTTTCAAACGTTCACTCTGCTTCCTCAAACCTTTCTCCTGACACCCAAAACTTGTCTCTGCTCAGATGAAATCTCCTCTCGTCTCTGCTCGCTTGTGAATCATTTTCTACTCACTTGGAACAAAAATGCACCGTTGCCTGGCAACCTCTCAGCCAATAGAATGAAAGTGTTGTACTGGGTGCGTTTGTTTCCCTCTAGTGGGTGTCCCTGCATGGCTACTATCGACTGTTAACAAAAAATAACCAGTTGCTACAATCTATAGCAGCCACACAGGCACACCCACTAGAAGGAAACAAACGAAACCATTACAACACTTGCATTCTATTGGCTGAGAGGTTGCCAGGCGACGGTGCTTTTCTGTTCCAACCGAGCAGAAAATGTTTCGCAAGCGAGCAGAGAGGTTTGCAAATGGAGATTTGATCCGAGAGGAGAAAAGTTTTGAGCGCAAGGAGAAATGTTTGAGAAAGTTTAACAGTCTTTTGAGGAATAGATGAGCAAAGTTTGTGTGAAGAAATATCCATGTTAGTGATGTTCAGAGTCATTCCACCTTTCCCAACGTACTTGGAAAACTTTTATGTCTACCCTTGAATTCAAACTTTATCTTTAAGTAAACATAGGTTAAAGTGGTGATGCAGAATCTCCAACATACAGGAAATGAACAACAAATGGCACAAACGTAAACTAAAAAAAAAAGTATTTCTGGACCAACTGATTGGTTCTGATTGATGATTGGTAGATAAAATACTGAAATAAATGCATCATAACTAACAGCATTTTTATGAGTCTGTAAGTTAATCAATATATAATATGTTTGGCACTTTCTTTAGATTTTAGCAGTAGCCTGCTAAAGTTTTGCAGAAACAGGAATATTCTATCCCTTAATTAGCTGTTGAACTTGAAACTAGAACCTCACTAATTGAACAAGCACTTATTTTATGCTTTATATTTGATGTTTTTAATGTTAGATTGAAACAACATTCAACTTAGATTTCCAGACTGTAATCTTATGTCTTTAAGTGTTGCACACCTTCATCCTGTTATAAGATGTGTATTTTCTGCAGCTGCTGAGTAAGAATCAGTTTGCAGTGAGCTGAGTAAAGATTGCTTAAATTAAAGAGTAAATATTTGCACATTAGAGTATCTGCGCAGAATAAAAGAGTTAAAGGAAATCAGCTTTGAATATTTGTATAGTTAAATAATCTTTTTTGAAAATCAAGTCCAAAGTAAACTACTACAGCCAATTTTTCAATTTGGATATAAGGTAAGACTTCAGTGTTTTCTTAAGATAAAACGCTTGTATTGTTTTAAGTGGGTCCAAATGTGCCTACAGCTCGACTTAAGCTGCAAACCATTAGCACTTACTCTTTGGTCCAAAGCCGGAAAAACATTCAGCTTCAAACAGGAGAAAAAAAGCTGCAAACAAATGTTTTCCTCTGCATTCAGAAGTCTCTGTGTTGCATCCTAGCAGCTATTTTTACCATTTGTGTTGTTTGTATTTAATTTTCTAAGCATGCATTAAAGTGTAGGTCGCTGATTTCAGGCATTTATGTATAAATAAATAGTTTCACATCCTGTGTACAACAAAACAAGTTTTTAGGATCCAACACTGACTCAGTAATGTCGGCACTGTTTAATTATGAGTCAGGCATTTCTTTCTTCCCTTTAAAAAGTTTTCTTTTTCTAAATAAGCCTCTATTTTATACATTTTTTCCTCATTTCCCACACTTGCAGCAAAAGGTTCAGGGAGAGTTTTTTTTCTTTGTCAGCATCTAGTGTGACAGTGCCTCAGGGTAAAAACTAAAAAGGACACAAATGCTGTGAGCCAATTTCACACAAAACAACCCCATCAAAGTCAGAGTTAGAAAAGGTGCAGGCATGAAATCCAAGCAGGAGCACCGCAGTGCAAGAAACGCTTCGAATTGAAGCTCCATTCTAATGCTTTTGCATCAAAAATGTTAGAAATTTCTCTAAAAGTGAACAAAATAACTGATTAACATCATCAGATAATGCATGCAAAAGTATTTCTGATTAATATCTTTGCTCAGATGTTGTTAGAAGTGTATTTATTGTCCCATAATAACTGCAAACACTCGTTTTTCCTGCACTGTCTGCCCTGGATTTAAACGTTTCGCACCAAATCCCACAAACCGTTGTCACGTCTCCTTTCTTTTTTTTGCTTTACTCCACCGTGCCGCCCCCTCCCCTCCTTGCAGTAACTATGAGTCATCCTCTGTATTAGCGGATAAGATGGTATTAGAAAAGCCAGGCACCAAAGGGCACGATCTGCTCATTTATCATGCATACTGTTACATCAGTCTATCTTCACCCATTTGATCCAGTTAATTAGACCATATTGAAAAGCCTATTGTGCCTCCGATAGTGAACAAATAGCCCGCTCCGCTGTACAGGAATGGTAGTCACAGCTGATAAACACTCAACAATTAAGCCAGAATACCCGAGAGGTCGCACCCAATTTCTGGTGCGAGTGTGTTTTTTTTTTCTTTTTTTTTGTTTGTTTCAGTTAAAGCAGATATAATCTCAGTGTGTGTGTGTGTGTGTGTGTGTGTGTGGCTTACAGGAGCACACACAATAAATAATAAAGCTGAGCTGGATTTATACTGAGTTTAAAAGCTGACCTACTATAAAAAATAAAAAAATCAGACACCATAAATACATTTTCTGAAGTGGTGAGGTGAATAATTAATGAGCAAAATTTGACAAATCCATTTCCTGCTTCATGGTACGCATGAACATATCTGTATTTACCAGGAGAACCCTTCAATGTCCCACTTCCTGCTGGTTAGACCCCCTCCCCACCCAACTGTAGTCTTCCTGGCCTGGGATGTGCATCAGTAGCCCTGAAATATTTATTAGTCTCCTCCACTTCTCTCTGTGGTCGGGGGAAACAGGACGAGTGAACCTGCCTCACTTAGTGAAGCATTCAGAGAGGTTTGAAGTGAAAACGGCCTGAATGACTGAGAAAAAAGCATGATGAGACTGTGAATCTCCAGGGATTTCAGGAGGAAGGAAAGTGGAATCACAGGCATGTCTGGTTGAGGTCTGGAGCCGAGCATCAGGAACCGCTCCAAACTTTGGATGGAGATGAATGAAGTGAGGATAAGCAGAGATTTTACTTCAAAGCAGAGAGAAAACTATTAAAACAGGATGCAGGGGCCTAACACACAACAATGCACAAAATTCAATCAATTCAAAATACTTTAAAATAATAATAATAGGTAAGCAGGGTTTGCCCTAGTGTATTACAAGCCTGGCGGGTCACCAGGCTTTGCTTGTGTCCCCACCAGGCGAAGCATTGCTTATTTAAGATGTTTGCATTTTTTAAGACTTTATTGTTGGTGTTCAGGTATTACTCTTCCAACCTTTCAATAATACATAATTATCAAGTGATATTTTCAAATTTCCTGTCAAATTTAAACATTTTTTTAACTCAAAAACACGACGGGCTGCTGACTGAATGACTGCTGAGCGCCCCAACCACCGCGCTTAGCACGTTTTCTGGGGGAAACCTTGGTGTAAGGTCATTTTATTTATATGAATTAGAAGGAAATACAAACAAAACAACAAAACCAAAAGAAAGAAAAAAGTAAAAGTATAAAACTACATATTGGTAGTCCATATTTTATAAAGTAGTAGAGGTTTCTCAGGATTCTTGTCTGATAAAAGTAAATGTTGGTTCCAGTAGTTCTGGGTTGAGTTCTAGATTTGTACAAAGCTAAATGTTGGTTCTAGATGTTTGACTCTTGTTCAGGGTTGTTCCATTCATGCTTTAAAACAACAAGAAAAACCATATTTCCAGCTGACTTTAGCAGTGTTTTCACATGACAGTCCAGTAGACTTGTTCAGTTGGGGAACAAAACTGCAACATTTGTTACATTTTCAGCTACACTAAGTCAAACGAACCAAACTCTTTGAGAAACATGTTCCCCTCCTCGCCTGTGGGGGTGCTGCACCAAGAACTGCTGAAAGAAAAGACATAAAAACCTCAGAGGAAAACAAAAACAACTTATTTGCAAACAAAAATGGAGTGGCGTAGGTTTGTCTTTGGCAAAAGACTACAAGCTATTTCTTTCACAACAGCTTGGCTGCATTTACCCAGAATTCCCTGCGCTATGGTCCACTTCCTCCTCTTTAGGTCCTCTTGGCATTCACATATTCATTTGAACTGCACCAGAGTTCACTTCTACCAAGCTGAAACCGGGGTTTTTAGGGGGAGTTTGCTTTTTTGGTTCGGACCTTCTCAAATATGCCAAACTTTCTACAAAAACAAACTAAAGTTCAATTAAAGTTTGAATTTAGTCTAAAGAAAGAGCCCCAAACATAAATCTTTAAGCCAAACCTTCACTTCTACATCATGCTATTCGTTCTCCACTTGAAGTAAAGATAGATGGCACTTAACTACACAGACTTTACTTTGTAGATTCTTATTTAACCATAAATGTTTACTATGCAACACCAACCTTCCCTCTTCCCTTTTCATAAATTTGGGAAAATTTAAAAACACCTGTTTCAAATTTGGAGAAGGTCAACCAATGAAGTGGGATGTTGATTAAACACAGTAAAGTTTAAAATAAACGAAGAAAAAAAATCAATTCAGCTGTCAAACATCTTTTCAAATGTTGATAATTTATCTTCCCTAAACAAAAGGTCACCAGTTTATGTGGGAGGGAAATGTGGGACATTTTGTGGAGGGGCAGAAATTTCCAGGTCACTAAAAGCTTCCACTCAAAAGAGCTGATTGTGAAGATCATTGAGCAGTTTCAAGGACATCCACCGCTACATTATTAATGACACTAATGGGACCAAAAAAACGCGAGGGGGGCTGAAGTGGCACATTCAAAGTGCAACAAGCCCCCCACTCACATCTCACTTTCCCATCAACCAACTTCGTGGCCAAATAAGAAAACTCTAAAGACTCGTTTCATCGCTCAGCTGGGGACAATTAGAAAGAATCTCATATTTTATTTAAGAAGGCACTCCCCGTTTTTGTCTTGATGGCCTTTAACTTTCTCCTTTTAGTTCTGGATAAAAGTGCTGACGCATAAATCGGGTCCGCACACCTCCTCCGTGGCTGCATATGGTCACGTTTATAAATGTTTACACGCAGGCACTGTGAAGAGAGGGCCCATGCATACGAGCTGAAATGAGCGAGGAAGCAGCCTGCATGCTGCGGGATAATTGATATGAATGAGAAAAGGAGCTTTACTGGTTCAGCTTGGCTGCAAAGGAAACAAAAGCCTTCAAGCTCAACTAATTCAAATAATCGTTTACCTTGGAGTTCTGTTGTTTATCTGGAACTCGGTCACTGTCGCTCTCCTCATGCTAACAGGAGCGAGAGGAGACGCCAGATACAAAAAAAACCTTGTCATTTTATTGTATAACTTCTAAAGATAACAACGACTGTCAGCCCTCGGTGTAAACGCGGATTTATTTGCAGCTCACACTTTTTACAAGGTAAGAAGACCAACGTTCATATACTCTATAAGTTAGTATGATTAGAAAGAAATCAAATATTGCAATATGGCGGTGTCTAACGGTCAGTAACCATGGAGACAACCCCGCGCCGTCATGTAGCCTAGCATGTATGGAAAAAAACTGGTTAGCATCTCGTCTTCTGTATGTTTTAATGCTGCTCTGGTTTAAGGGGAAACGCTGTCTATGACATAATGATATAAATCATGTGATGTGACTTCATGCAAAGTCGGTAATTTGATCTACGGGTACGGGACGGTTTCTAAGCTAGCCGTTTCCTTTTTTTTTTTTTTTTTTTAATACGGCCGTCTATGAGCTCCAATCAGGTGTGTCACGTTAACAGACAAATTAGCTGGACTTGAACAAATGGAAGTCATGAATAAACTGGCAAAAACAACTTTGGAAAACAATTTCAGTTGCACTGTCCCTCACTTCTAACGTCCACCGTGGCGCCTTGAATGATTAAGTGACGTAGTTGCAAAGGGTCATTATTTGACGGTTCTTCGGGAGCAGCACTCACAGGAGTCTCCAGTTAATCTATTTTACTTGACCCTTCCTCCTGCAGCCGTCAGCACTTTGATTACTAAATTATGTTTTTTAGATTAGGTTTGGACTTTGAGCTCCAGACCACCCTCGGAGACCGTTTCCGATTATGTCGCCGTCAAGCTGCCTCGAGATTCATTCGAGCAAATCTGCTGGTTGCTTGCACGCCGTCCCCTCTCCTCCATACCTGCCTCCCTATCGTTACCCCCATCTGCTCCTCTCTGTCTGCCTGTATAATGTGACAGGGCTCGGCTGTACCGCTGTTTACAAGGTGTTTAAAACTTCAGCCGCTGCCAACGTTGAGTTGCCAGGGAGGTTTAGAAGGAAAAAGGAGTGCTGGGACATTGCTGCGGGGGTTTTCACACTGACAATACGCGGTTGCTCAACACGACAAACCCTTAAGCAGTTCTCATGAAGAAGAAGAAGAAAAAAAAAGCAGCACACTCTGGGACATATGGAGAGGCAGATAAGAGTTGTGCAAACGTCCCACACGTCAGTGCATGTGGTTTCATTTGCGGTTGAGTAAATCTTGATGATTTATGTCATTGCAACCCAAACAATACGATTCCAACCAGAGTAAACGTAGCAGAATCCTTGTTTTGTAACTTTGAAAATCAAACCCTGGTGTTAATTAAGTGGTTTAAGAAGCAGCTTTTACATTCATTCCTGTTTCATGGTGTCATGCTGTGAAACTTTCATGGTGTACGGATCGTCTTAGGGATCAAAGTGTGCTCCTTTCTGAACCGCAGCTTTCACAAGGTGACCGCTCTTGTGTTTGGCACGTCACAGAAAAGCAAAAGGCAATTGAAGCTGGTCGTGTAATGAATCTGAGCTGCAGGTTTTTCTTTTTTTTTTTTTAAATCTCCCTCCCATCAGCCTCTCAGCTCCCCTCGCATCTTTTTCAACCACTAAGGCATGCTCGAATGGCACATAAACACTTTCTCTCTCACACTGTATGCATAATTCAGCAGGCATCCAATTATATCTGAAAATAATTCTATATGAACATGTAATATTAATAGAATACCAGCGGCCTGAGGAACTCTTCAGCGTCAGACCAAGCTAACTTGAGGTCATCACTTCCTCAGCGATGAACTCTCCTAAATCCTCCTGTTGCCAAATGTTCCTGGAGAGCAAATCTGAAGTGTGTGAAGTCATTGAAAAGCAGCAGGCAATTAGTCGCAACTGCTTTTGCCCCTTTTTATTCAGCGTGCCTCTTCACATCTCAGCTGTTTTCTAGAGTCGTTATTGCTCACAGTCCTTCCAAAAATCAATGGAAGGTGAAGACGTTGTGGACACATTGTCAACTTTTTACTTTAGTTATAAACGTTGTCAAGAAGGCAGCATAGTGGCTCAGCATTGGAAAGTGAAATAACAACATACTTAACATGCTATTTGCTAGCAGGAATGCTGATTGGCCGTAAATAATGGAAACTTCTTGGCCGATTTCCGTTGTACAACTAAGTCAGAAGCAACTTTTTCAATAAAATCCTGTAGTTGAGATGTAAATAAAATATGTTTAGTCTCTCAACAGACGACTCATTAACTAGAATCTTAACCAGAAGTGGAAATATATCCGTTTTTATGTTTGCCGTTGCCGTGACGATGGCTACACTTCCTGGCATCCACATCATAAAAAAAAAACTATTATAATTAAAAGAGCTACTTAATATAACAGTAAAAATATAGTATATTAATCCATAAATGTAACATTTGTAATTCTTAATCAAAATTGTCCATCCATCTTCTGTACACCCTTATCCCTTAGTGGGGTCGGGAGGTGCTGGTGCCTCTCCAGCTAACGTTCCGGACGAGAGGCGGGGTCACCCTGGACAGGTCGCCAGTCTGTCGCAGGGCAACACAGACACACAGGACAAACAACCATGCACACACACACACACACTCACACCTAGGGGCAATTTGGAGAGGCCAATTAACCTGACAGTCATGTTTTTGGACTGTGGGAGGAAACTGGAGTACCCGGAGAAAACCCACCATGCACAGGGAGAACATGCAAACTCCATGCAGAAAGAGCGGGGCTGGGAATCAAACCCAGAACCTTCTTGCTGCAAGGCAACAGCTCTACCAACTGCGCCACTGTGCAGCCTAATCAAAATTGTACTTATTATAATTAACATTATTCTGCCATATATGGCAAATTTAATCTTATGTAACATCTCTAACACTTTAGTTATTGTGGAGGACAGAAACAAAACTAACACAGGGGCCTAAAACTAAACCTTTGCATGTTATTCTTATTTAAGCCAACGGAACACAGCTGGCTTTTACAGGAAGTTAGAAAAGTTGCATGTAAGATTATAAACGATGAAATGACAATCTCTGACTTTGTTGAGCAGTTTTCAAAACTGGAATTGTCTATGACATTTATTTATTAGTGATTAATATCCACCACTATAAAAAATTAGGAATGTGTCATGTTGACGGTGTGTGTTCAAAGTGAATGCATTAACGCCGTGAAAACCGTTTAACGTGAAGCATCGAAGCAAAACACTCTGGAAAATGGTTAAAGACATTTACTTATTACCAATAAGAATTGTTTAAAGTTGTGTTTACTTCCTAATATATACTGAACCCATTCATTTGAATTATTCTATCACAATTTGTGCTTTTAAAAACAGATTTTTAGTGCAAATTACTTCTGCTACATTACATTTTCCTGACCACAGACTTAACTGCATTCCCATTGTCTCATTTCTAATTTCAGAATTCAATAAAACACTTTTTTTACTGCAGTATATTAGGTTAGATTTTACTGAAATATTCCTTATAGTCCACTCTACAGTAATTTGTGATCAGAACTGGTAAAACTGGATTGTAAAACAGCTTCCAGGCATGCTGAAGCTCTTCCTAAGCAGATATGATAAGTCATGTTTTCAAGCTTTACAAGTCATTCAAGTGAGCAGATCAGGATCTCTGACTCATATGATTCTTTTGAGCCAGATCTGATCCAAATCTGCAGAACAGCAAAATGAGTAAGATTTACAGCAAGAGGGCGTAACTGTCTTTAAAATTTAGCAATGTTTAATTCTAGGTTAAGTCTGAGTATTTGCACAGGCTGGATTTTACTTGTTGTGTTTGACTGAGGCTGTAGACATTTACTCAGCGCAGCACAAACACATGCAGATCGATATCATAATAAGGAACCCGAGGCTTTTGACTTGCTAGCCGACAAGAGCACCTTTCTTGTCCTGCAGCACAAATCACTGAGAGCCCTGTGGATCAATGTGTCCTTCCTGCTAATGAATGTGCAGTAAACATGATTAATGCCATCAGATTAACTGTTTATCTGTTTTATCTTCACATATTCCATTGGCTCTTCTTGCTTTTCCTCTGACTCACTTGCCTGGTTTCATCCTCTGACCTGCAGGTGAGACCTACTCAGAGAACTACAGCCACACGGAGAAGTGCAAGCCGTGCACCCAGTGTACCGGCCTGATGCGGATGGAGACTCCCTGCACCGACTCCAACGACGCCAAATGCGTCTGCATGTATAACTTCTACTTCAACAGCATCTCTGGACGATGTGAGCCGTGCACTGTGTGCCCGCTGGGACAGGGCGTTTACTCGCACTGTGACCCTTACCACGACACCATATGTGAGGAGTGTGTGGACGAGACGTTTTCTGACCGGGAGAGCTACCTGGAACCCTGTTTACCCTGCACCATCTGTGAGGAAGACATCGAGACTCAGCTGGCTGAGTGCACGCCCATCAGTGACTCCGTCTGCCACAGTAAGCCTGCTGCTTGAATTTCTGACTCCAAGCTTCTCTCATACCAATATTGACAAATCCTTCATGCATGTGTGACATGCAGTTGCATCAGTTTTTGAGTTAGTAAGCTTTAGAAGTGATTTAATTCTCGATTTTTGAGGGGAGAGTGATGTTATTGCTGTTCAAAAGACTGGCCTGGTTTTTGAATTAGTCATTTTTAGGAAAGGATCCTAAAGAAATAATCGGTAGCTGTTTTTCCACTACAATTGTGTGCAAAACTTTGTTGATATTCCACTAATGTTGAAAAAATACAATTTCATAATCGAGATGTTTCCATTAAGTAGGAAACACAAATTAAAATCACAAGTGAATAAATTTATTCACACGATAAGTCATTAAAAAATGTGCCGCTCTGTCATCTTCCAACTACTTCCTGTCGTCTTCTTCATATTTTCCAGCAGTAGTAATGTCCAGTTGTTGATCCTGACTCATGTGATGCAAAAAAGTGTTTGTTACAGTTTTGCGAAATACACAAATTTCAATACAGCCAAAACAAACCCAACACCTCATCAAAAAATGTTTGTGTTTCTGTTTAGCAATTTTATTTTCATAATCCCTATTTGTGCAATTTTAAGACAAATGGAAACCCATCTGCTGCTTGGAACGACAGGGAATGAAAGGATAATATTTGTGTCAGAATCAGCGTTTTGAAGTGACTTTTTGACCTGGATTCAGTTTATTGTTTTTGCCATCAGCGATGTGCTTCCAGATGCTGCTGTGTGGTTTTGGCTCAGCCTCTCACTGAGAATGAATCAAGCTCTGAGAATGCTTCTGATTCGGTCTAAAAGACTAAATAAAATCCCAAATAATGACACAACCCACAACACAGGCAGAACCGTTTGCACTCTTTACTTAAGTTAGTTTCCTGGGGATGCATTCAGGTCTTTTTCTCCTTTCAGTTAAAGAAATCTTCTCTAGTCCAACTGTTGATTATTTGGTCTGACCTGAGCAGGCGGTTAGTCTTTAACACATATTAGGCATGACTGCACCTTCACCCAAACACACGAGACGATTCCAGCCCACAAAGTGCCGTAAGTTATTTCAGATCGGCGTTGGAAGCCTCATATAATTCTCAATCACACTTGAACAAAACCAGCAGGGGCGACCTGCACATGCGTCTGCGTGAACACGCGTGGCGAAAGGTCGGGCTTGGTCAGCTGGAAGTTGAAAGTTTTAGCATTAAAAGGTCAAAGACTGCAGCAGTGTCAACAGAGAGACGATCAATAACCTGCACGCCCACAAAAACACTGCCAAGCTTTTTGTCCAGCAGTAAAGGTGGCTTGAAAACCCAGGAAGCTGTAAATTCACACGGGTCAGGCGAGGTTGGGAACTGACCTCAGCGTTGCCTTGGGTGGCAGTGCTGACTTCTTGGAAGAAAAAAACTGGAAAAAAAGATAACTCCCTCTTGCTGAAAGTTTCATAGACTGTACGCTTCATATGCTTGCTTTCAGCTCTGAGAAGGTTAGAAAGCTAGAACATCTTTTAACACTTCATTGTTAACGTGCAAAGGGCCAAGCTGCAAAAACACTAAATGTTACCGAGCAGTTTTCATCTGGTTTCTAGTCCAAATATCTCAGTTCACTTGAAATAAGACCAAACTAACTTACAAGCAACTTTTCAGCAAGATATAGGAGCTTAAATATTGATAAAAAAAAAAGCAAAAGTTCAGATTATTTCACTTAAAACTAGGGCTGTAGGATAATATCGATATCGCGATATATATCGATATTTTCTTTCCTAGAAAAAAATCGATATTCATCCGCAAGTATCGTAACATCCAACTGTCATCTTGCTGACTCACTGCTTGCTTCGCCGGGAGAGTGATTAGGTCATCAGGCTTAGAGTGATTCCTTCAGATGTTAAGTGTCAAGGTTAAAAAGGTATCAACCTATTCAGAGCAGGTACTTGGTGCACTTTATTTACTTTACAAATGCATGTAAGCCACAGTTTGTACTGTTTCAATTAAAAGAAACATGTTTTCTCACCACTTCTTTGATTCTTTTTGTCCAGCTGTCGACTTTGTCTGTGTCCATGTCCAACCAGAGCCAGGTTGGTGTTTTAATCAGTTTTCAGTTAAATTAATTCAATCCAACTCTATATCACCAAAATCACTCTGTCCCTCTAAAATCTTTCAGAAAATCGCAAAAGTGTATTGAATTGTATCGTTTGACGAATATTGCAATATATATCGTATCGTGGACAGAATATCATGTATCGTATCATATCGTAAGATTACTGTATCACTACAGCCCTACTTAAAACGTTGGAAAAATGTGTTTTCTTCCATCAATATTAAGGAATTAAGCTCCTGTTTCTTGCTGAAACTTTATTTGTTAGTGTCTTATTTCAAGTTTACTAAGATCACTGCATTAGAAACGAGACAAAAATACTTTGTGGTTTTGCAGGGCACATAAATGGTTTAAATTCCCCCTTTAATTGACTGTAATGACACTGAATGCGTAGAAACGGAGCATAGAATGATAAGATCTAGACGTGTTGATGTTGTGGAGGAAGAGCAAATAAATTTCCGTCCAGTCTGCACCAATATTTACCTTTATGCAAACTCCAATTCTCTCTCCGCTGCATTTTACGTTGCATGCCACTAGATTCCATAGATACAGCCAAACCCGGCTTACAAAATATCGATGTACATTAGCTACAATGCAGCCTTTTGCTGCCCATTTATCGCCCACCCAGGCTGCTCAACTTTGACCCGCCTGATGGCACGATAGCAGCCATAATGGTAGATGCTAGAGATGGCATCATAAGTGACCTTATGAAAGGAAAGTCCTGTTAAACAGCGAGTTTGTTCCTGTGGGATAATGTCTGCAGACACACATGCTGCGATGGTGTTACCAAACCTTCATGGTGGTCCTTGATAAAGATTTTTTTCCTGCAGCGAACATAAAAATAAGCTGCCCATCTGGGACTCACTTCCTGTTTCTGAATTCATTTAAAACACACGAGAAGTACTTTTAATTTCGTCCCGGAGTCTTTCTTGAACTTTGCACACGCTGTGGTGAAGATGCGAATCCCAAAAAAAGTCCCCGCTTCACATCCAGCTGTCAGCGAGTGTCAGTTACACAAAGCAGCGACAGAGACGGAGAAAGAGAAAGAGGCCGGGATGAAAACAGATGGAGAGCTGCAGCATCTGTGCTGTGCTGGTGTTCTACGGTGAACGGGGTCGATATGAGTCCTGGGATTTCTTCTGCTCACGCTCAGGTTTCGCTGAGTGACCTCTGAGCGCGCACAAACACACACACACACACACACACACACACACACACACTCTCTCTCTCTCTCTCTCTTGTACAAGAGTGTTCGGAATCAATAGAGCTGATAGAGATGTGGACTTAGAATTTTATCGCGATATTTTGTGGTGCTATTGTGATAACGATAAAGACTATGATTAAAAAAAGATTTATTACTTAATTTTTAGGTAATAAATAGTTTTGCAGGATGGTGACTGCATGGCACAGCATTTATCAAACACAAATCTTATCTGAAATAAGCTTTCCCAGGACAAAAAAAAAAAATTACACCACTAAGCAGCACACAGTAAATGCATTTAATCATATTTTTTAATTTGCTTCGTGGAACTAAAAGTGGAGAAAATACTAAAATAACATTTTTGATCATGCCGTTTTGTTTTCACTGCAAAAACACAAAATCTTAGCCAGTATTTCTGTCTCCTTTCTTTAATTTTGTCTAATTTCAAGTGTACTAACTTAAAAGTAACTTTTCAGTAAGATATAGGAGCTTGATTTAAGTAAATAATCCCTTATTTACTTATTTTGTTTGAGTTTCCCTTTAATTCATTTAAAGCACTTAGTATTGCCTTGTTGCTGAAAATGTGCTATATAAATAAATTTACCTAACTTTTCCTTAATATTGATTAATAAAGTACTTGTTCCGACAAACTTACAGCATGTGAAAAATGTCTTGCTATAAGTGAAAACATTCAGCCAATGGAGCTAGTAAGTTTTTAATCAATATTAAGGGGTTATTGACTTTAAATGATCTCCTATATCTTACTGAAAAGTTAGTTTTGTCTTATTTCAAGTCTGCTGAGATATTTGCACTAAAACTAGACCAAAATACTTGGTAAGATTTTGTGTTTTTCCAGAAATTTTACCATAACATTAAATCAAAAATTCTTCTTAGTTTTTTTCCCAGCTAATAACTGAAAAACAATTCAAAGAACACGCGCGCTCTTCTCTTCCTCCTGCCAAGTGTAATTCCACTGCTGCGTTTTTCATTAAACCCCGGGTGTTGCACACATGTGGACCTTTTTTTGATCTGCGGACCGACATTCGCCTCGCGCCGTTCAGCGGAACATCTTGGTGCTGTTCAGTTTGGAAAGTTTCAGCCTGTGCTGGAGTGTTTGTCCTGAGGAGAAGGGAAGATTGAACACACAGATAACGCCAGACTTCTCTCTTTATTAGAGAGTCCATCACCTCCCGTCTCTTCCCACAGTGGCCCTCGAGTGGACAGGCGAGTGGAGTGATGGAAGCTGTCCAGTGTGCATTCAGTGTCTTCGCCGCTGCAGTATAATTACTCCTTCTAATCAGAGCACTTTACAGCAGCTTCTCTGTTCGTCTGCACCCCCGCCCCGCTCTCTTCCAACACTCTGCCTCTCTGTCTGCCCTCCCCTCCACTCTTTCTATTAACGCTCCCAAACAGAAGACAGAGCGCTCACTTGAATAATTCGTAGCATGAGTGTATATGTGTGTGTGTGTGTGTGATGCATGCACGCCAGGCAGTTGTGATAGAGGCTCAGCTGAGACAGAAGGAGAGTGTTTGGCGGCTGATAAAGAGGTCTTTGTACGTTTGCAGAGCCTGATAGTTGCTCATCTCCACCCTGAACTGGCAGAAGCCGAGACATCAACCTCTGCGAAAGACCCTGGGGTTAAATTCACAATAAAGACCTCAGTGGCTCGTAAAAATTAAATCATTTTCCT